AAAAAAAAAAGGAAAAAAAAAAAAAAAAAAGGCTTTGGAAGTTTATTATCTTTGATAAAATCTCAACTGAAAGGGGTGGACTCTGTGTTAACAGCTGCAGAAATGCACAAAAAAACCTATTATGATCCATGAGGAAGTCAAGTGGGTTTTTCGTTGGGTCGGTCGGTTTGTTTTTCACTAGACATTACATTAGAATTACGTGGAATGACACAGGATGGAAGGTCCTACCCGAGAGCAAAGTCCAGTGAGAGTTTTGGTAAAGCAACGTTCTGATTAATTAGCTCAGAATGAATTCTAGTTAAGAAAAGCTTATTTTCCTATACAAAATTACAATACAGAGAACGCATACAATTACAATACAGGGGGTTTAACTGTTAGTAGCTATCAACTAGAACAGAAATTTCATAGTAAAAAACTTTATGGAAATTAAAATAAGTCAATTTTCTCAAGCTGCAAAACTTGGGCCAAACGCCAAGTTCTAGAAGAGACGCTTCCCGATTCTCACCGTAAAATCCATAGTTTAAAAAAAAGGAATTTGGTTAGGAAAATGAAGCAAGTTCTTTTAAAACAATTTCACATCCCAATGGGCATAAGTAAAAAGAACTCAACTGCGTGAGGCTGAGAGGTAGAGAGGTATCATTGTAATCACAATCTTCTATTGGTTCCAGGGGGGTTTCTGAGGTAATTAGCTGTGTGTCAAGTTGTATAAACAATAGTATTGGCAAAAGAGCAACATTGACAAATTACACTAATGACCTCTTTCCTCTCATCAATAGGTCCTAAAAACTTAATTAGACGCATCCGAATTAACACTTCCAGGGTCTCCAGCAGGTGAAGTGATTGATGAAGGGGTGGTAGCATCCTGCCAGCTGCCATTAGCCTGCAGGGGGAATAAATAGATCCTTGCGTTAAATCTTTAAGAAACTACTTGCAGACAACAAAATATGCCTTTATATGTTTCCGCCTTACAAGCGACAGGAAAGGAAATAACTACATATCGGCTCTGGCAAAGCACAGTCCACGAATATCCTGTAAAACCTCTTCCCCCCCCCGATTTTATGGTGATACTCATTCCTTGCACTATCTCCTTATGGCAGGAATTAACTGAAGCGCAGAAATTTTCCAGTGAGCAAAGCCAAAATTTTAAATCAAGTCTCCAGGAGGGAAAGGCCGGTATCTTAAAGGACATCTTTTCCAGATTTTTCCAAACCCCACGTCGGAGATGGTCAAGGGAATAAAAAGTCAACATTTATTCATGGACCGTTAAGCCATCTCAGGCAGAATTTGCATTTCGAGTAAGTAATACCTCAGTACATCTTACATCTATGCGCTGCGTCGTATACAAAGGATTCCCCACAATTGTGTCGTATCTTCCCGTCTGGTGTATGACATGATGTAAGGAATCCATCTAGGACAAGATGCCGCAGAGAGAGAGGACGGTAAGGACAAAAAGCCAAGTTAAAGAAACGCAGCAGCACGTGGTACGTTATCTGCTGGGCCAAAAAGTCTTTAAACCAGGGGCAGCTTTTCATGCAGGAAGACAAATTTTCTTTGCGGTTCCCGCTATTAAGTGATCTCTACCTCGCTAGTTCATCATCAAGCAGAATTAGAGCCTGTCACCTGTAGCTTTTATGACAGACAAACGGATTTTACGCAGTTCAGATGGATTTAGAAATTCATCAGAAAGCTTAAAACGAGCACGGCAATGCTGTTACCCGGAAATCCTAAGCAAAGTTCTACTTAGATGGAACACTCCTGACTCTAAAATGAGAAAAATATTCTTTCATTAATGTAAATTTAAAGGGATAGAAGAATGGCAGCAGGTTAATTTAGTCATCAGTTAATTCTGTAAGAGGAAATTCCAGTTCCAAGCAAAAATACACATTTGACCACGTTTGTTTCATCTCTCTTATCGGAGAAATTTGGCTCTAGTCATTTCTTGCATCCTAGCCAGTGGTGGCTAGAGACAGAAAAATCCATCCCTGCCTGCTATTAAGAGAATCTACTTTAAAAAAGATAAAATAAGATTGTGTAATCCAACCCTGCTGTTTGAAGCGGGGCCAATTAGAGCAGGTTGGGTTTTGAGTTTCTCCAAGGTCAGAGACTCCACAGCCTCCCCGGGCAGCCTGTTCATAACAGATAAAGGGCAGAGAAATGGGATTTTAACATTTATCTCACTGCTGAAAGTATTTTTATTTTTTTTTCCCCCTTACTGACCTGTGACTGCACATTGGCTCCCACTGGGGAGCTCTGGTAGGAAGCCAATGACTGCAAGTTTATAAACGAATCTCCGGAATTTGTCATCTTAAAAGAGCCAGAGGAAGCTGAAAAAAAAAAAAAACCAACACCAAAAACATGTTTTAATGAGAAATAAAACCCACCAGAAATGGTTCTTCAACACGTATTACTTAAGTTTAAAAGAAAAAGAAAACCTACGGAGATTTCAAACACCATTAGTCCACGGTACTAATTGTCAGAAGCAATAATTAGAGCCTTTCAAGCAGACGGACTCTCACCCACCTGAATTTGGTGTAGAGGGCGAATTTGCCTGGTTGCCTTGAGCCACGACATTAGTTGCATCCACTGCTGTTTTTGCCGCATAAATATTAGCTTCTTCTTGGAACTTCCCCATATTTTTTTTGTAGCGAATTCTTTTGTTGCCAAACCAGTTGGAAACCTGGAGACATATATCGCTGTCAGCATTTAAGCAAATTATTACCTTTTCCACTATATCGAGAACTTACCAGCAAAGGAGATGTTTTAAACTAGGCTTCAAGCAGAAAATACCTGCTACTAAACCCTTCAGAATAACCTAAATCCTATTTCAAGTACCAGTAGCTGAAGCCTGTTGCTAACTATGAGGGAAAAAAATACACCATTCAAGGGGAAAAAAAAAGACAATTCCAGATAAAACACTTCATACCTGTGAAACTGTGATGCCACCTTTCTTTGCTAGCTCTTCTTTGGCCTCTTCGCTGGGGTAAGGATTACTCAGATGCGAATAAAAATATTCATTCAGTACTTCTGTTGCCTGTTTGCTGAAGTTACGTCGTTTACGCCTATAAAAATATTATTTATACCTATTTAAGTGGTGTTATAGAGTAGAATTTAAATGGTGTTATAGGGTAGACTGGCTAGAGTACACTTGGCTTTTTTTCCTCTAAAATATTTTTTTATTTTGGAAGGAGAATGTAAGAATTGGGTGGAATTAAGTAGATGTTGATGTCAAAGCAGGTGCAACAGCTGGCCAATTCTTAGTATTTAAATTAGATCGACACTGGGAATGAGAAACTTGAGATTTCTTACGCAACCACCGGCATCAAGCAACACCAGAAGTTCAGACTTAAACGTCAGTTATCGCTAAACCGTGTTTTCCCGTACCTTGCATCAAGGAAGCGTGAGCGCAGGATCATTACTGCCTCGCACGTGCTCTGCTTCAGTTGCATCTGGATGGTGCTGAATTTGCCGTGGATGATGTTCACCATGCGCTCGATTTCTTTTGGCGAAATCGGCCTTGTTCTGCTCTGTTCCCTAAGCAGGTTCATCACGTGGGTGGTAAACTCACTGCAGGCCTGAAAATACACACAGTTGTATCGACAAACAATAAAATACCCCAGAATTCGTTTCCCCCACAAGAATATATATCCAAAAATAAACTTTAGAGGCGTTTCCATGTTTCAGCTTTACTCTATTTACCCTTAAAAAACGGCAACAAAGATAAACAAGACATTTATTATCTTTAGCCTGATGTCCAGTCCCTCTATCTTCACCTTACTTCTGTAACACTGAGATAAGCTTTCAACTGAATTTGCTCTCCTCGCGTTCACCTGAATTCATTCTACCTCCTGTTCTGTTCTTAAAACCAACACCAAAGGAAAAAACGGTTATTTTTAATTGAGATGATAAAAACTCTTCCATGCAGAAAGATCACCTGTTCATATTTCTCTAGCTCAGAGTGGTATATCTGTCGGATCTGTGACAGCTTGGCCCTGTAGTCAGAGTGTTCAATGCTATTGTCATTTGGACAGCCACCTGATGTTGCTGCTACAGCCATCGGTCCTCCTCTTCCTCTTTTCTCGGGCCCGGAGACACCCTCCGCCAGCAACATGTTATCTAGTCTCATTAGTTGAGCATCTGGGGGATCTTCTTCCTGAATACCGCGAATACTTAACACTAGATAAATATAAAGAGGGGAATCAAAAGATTATTTCCGAAACAGGAAAGCGCAGCCACATCAGTTCTGGCAAAGCACTTAAACACTCTTGAGAAGTTTTAGCAGGTCTTGAGCTCAAGAAAAAGAGGGGAAAAAAAAAAAAAAAAAAGAGGGAGTGTTTAATGAAGCAACACATCAGAACAAGCAGGAGTGAGAAATACCAAAGCATTTTGATAACCAAAGTTTTCGAAGACACGCAGATGGTAAGACTACTCGGGGTCATACTGGTTTATACTACATTCAGGAAGTATTTTCGCAGACTGTAAAAATTAGAACGAGGTTCTTGCAGAGCAGATGCCCCCGGATCAGCCTGCTGCCTGGCTCCTGGCACGGTCCTCAACGGCGTTCAGCGCCAGCTCATGCAGACAGACTACGGCGGACGGACAAACGGCCTGAGCCGCTGGGACAACTGCTACGTCTCCACGTCCAGGGACGGAAACCAACACCCCACTGGTGCAAGAACCGCTGAGATCGGTACCAGAGGCGTGAGTTTGACCTCATCTGCTTCATATGCCAAGGATACAACTGTGTTCTACAGCAGCAGGCTACCAACTGAAGTCTTACAGCGCTGAATATTAAAATCTATTTTAAAATCAATCAAAATCTGAAACAACATGAAAAAAATGCACCAGAAACCAGTTTCCTTAAGCTTATATTCAGCAAACCCAGACTGCAGCCTGTAATAATCTGTATGCTCAGATTATTCAAGTTTGATTCCAAGCAAATTTGTTTTAAAAACGCAGTTTCCCAATTTGTTATGAACTTCCTTTTTTAAAAAACGTAAGAACTCACAACGTATTGAATCAATGCAAAACACGCCAACGGCTTTTTGGTGTTTCATTTGATTTTAACGACTAGACAATTTTAGTTGGATGAACAGTTGGTCTTAACCTTGTGAAACTATCAAATTCTAATGACTTTTTCCAAATTGTAACTGGCGGGTTAACAGGACCAAAGATAAACACAAAAGACCTCTTGTTATGCAAAGATTCTAGTGCGAGGGCGGGAGAACAACATACAGACACGAAACATAAGCATTTATATTAATTTCCAGCATTTTGCAGGTAAAAGAATAGCTCATCTAAAAAAAACCCAAACCAATAATTTTGAACACACAAGCAGCCTAAACTTACAATCCTGTTGCTGAACTTCCTATTTTGCAGGCTACACAGAAATTGCTACACAATTCTGAAGAAAAAAGTGCTTTGGAGCGGCTGCAGACCTTCGCTCTGTTGCAGCGGTCCGGGGCATCTCCAGAACATCCCCAGTCTTTTTGCAAGCAGAAAAAGGTAAGGCAAAAATAGCTATAACTGGATAACTGCTGAACTCGAGCTAACACAGCAATGAGAGAGGAAACTCTTGACTATTTAAGAAGTTCGTGGCTTTTCTAACTCGTTATGGAATTAAAATTAATGATAAAAAATTAGCAAACTACCTACTTCATACACCCATGAGTGAGTGAACGTTACAAGAAATGAAACAAACACAGAAAAAAGGGGTTTTATTTATTTGTTGGTGGATTTTTGGTTTTAGAAATCGCCCGTTCTCCTTTCTTCCAGAAGTCCCAGCAGCAGGTTCACCGCTGGCCATTTGCTCCTCAGTCTTTTTAACAAAACTCAAGACTAAATTCTTTGGGCTGACAAGTGTAAATTCAGTGGAACAGAGATTCTGGTGTCACCTTCTTATTTGAATGTGCTTCTGCCAAACGTCTTTTTATGCACATTATGATGCCTATCAGAGTACCTCATGTTGAAGTCAAGCTCCCAGCTGCAGCTTAATTTTATGTCACTTGTCTAATTATGGTAATTAGACATTAGTTATCATCAATTACACATAAGCCCGTCTGAAGTTGACTGCTGAAAAGCATGTACAAAGCACCTTCCCAGTCTCGAGGGAAGGAGCGGGTTGGCCGGCTCTGCTAAGTCACAAGAAACTGGAAAGGAGCTAACCACCATCAACACATCATAAACTGCATTTCCATCCCAGCAGTTCAAACTTGGATTTAATAAACTCTCCGAAAGGTGAACGGACCTGAGAATCGATGAGTGCAAGAAGCTCGGTCTGTTCAATGCGCTCCATCAGGTTGATTTTAAACTTTGGCGTAACCGCCTCGTAATATGTCTGACAGTTAAAACATAAGTTCTACAGAAATCATCGCCACAGACATTACTTTTAAATTAAAGCGATCATCTGCTGGAATGGATAGCTTTTGCTTGAACTTTATGTTTACTCCTAGTATCTTCACCTAAAGATAATACTTGTGCAAATCGTAAGTTACATCAGATTCACTCAAAACTACCTTTTCAGTGAATTCCTAATGCTGTTTGCTGCAAGTAGCAGCCAGCTCCGATTTCCGAGCTGTTGCTCTACCAACCTTCCAGAGCTGATCATCCCAACAGAAAGCGAGCGCAAAGGGAGAGCGAAACCATCGCAGCTGCAGGAACGCTGCGCTCACACCAGCTTCTGCAAGTTCTTCTTCAAAGTCTGGTTAAAAACAACTCCAGAAGTACCTGCCGTACCCCCGGGAGTTTCATCAGGGTAGCTGCATCTACCCTGCGAGCTTTCGGTACTGCTTATTACCTACTGACTCGCCATGCTTCGAGGAGAACGCTTCTCTAGAAAGCTCGCCCCTCTCAGCAGCCTTTTGGCCATCGCATTTCTGAAGTTCTCACAATAGTTTAAGAACATAACAACCCTCGTAATACTCAAGGCTTTGAGTCAAGACGCTAGGAGACCAGAGTTATGGCACAGTCAGTGTTTTAAGCATGATTTAGAAGGTCCTTGTGTAACGGTAAAATCCTTCACACTTAAATCCTTCATAATCCATCACGTTTATGGATGTTTAAGAAAAACCCTACACTGGCTCAAAAAGCCCGAAGAGTAGCTCCTGTCAGACGTACCGATAGAATATTGTGCATTCTTTGGCACATCACCTACCAGATATTCATCAAATATGTAAAATAATTATACTAAGCAAAATGAAATTCCCATCATTTCTAATTAATCTTTAATTAAAATACATCACAACCTAAGGTGCTGAAGCCTCACTCAGTATGCAAATGCAATCATTACAATATATTTACATCTCATTAATTAAAGATTTGCAGTTCTGTAATGAACTGTATAAGATCACTGGTACCAAAATAAGTAATGCACGCTTTGCTTAGACTCACTTTTCCTTTCCGAATTTTCCTTCATCGAGCAAGTAATGCAGAAGAGCACGATAAATGCATCTATTTGGTATAGAACACACAAAATCAGAACCAAAAGGTGCCGTATCAGGCCCGGAACTGCCCAGCCCGTATTGTGTGAAGTGTAAAATAACTCCGAAGAGTTCAAGGAAGCGGCAGCTGGGTCCTGGACCTGTACCCCTCCTCGTCCATGTCTCGGTTTTTCCTAGGCGATCCCATCACCCCTGTTACACTTGCAAATATTTATCCTATAACTGACACTAAATACCCACTCCTGATACTTTATTCAGACAGAAGGGTTTCCTCGAATCACTCTGTTAGGTGAGAAGGCAAGGAGCATGGTTTTTTACTAGCAGCAATCTTCTAACCACTTCATAATGCCGCCACCACCACCCCTCATGTAGTACCAAGCAGATTTTTCAGCCCATTTTTCAGCTAGCCACCCTCCGCCGGGACACCAGCCTCCCCAGTAGAGAGAACAACATCGCTGTGGGTTCAGCTGGTCTCAAAGCATTGCCACAGGAGAGCGCGTTCTCTGAACCCCAGCCAGGCTCGCACCTTCGGGGAGAGAGCAACGCGAATGGAAACAGAAGACAAAAGCCAGTGGGGCTCCGAGGAACAAGACTCGGCGACGTAAGGATGTCAACAAACTCAGCAACAAAGAGAAAGCGTGTTCTTCGGCCACGCCGCTTGCCAAGTTTTATGACCGAATGAAAAAGGACCCGTTGAATTAACCCAGCCAAGTGCCACCACATGAAAGGACGGACAGCGGGCTGCAGCTAGCAACGACAAGAAACAATAAAAAATGGGACTCCATGTTACCGCGCTGCAACACACACGCTCCCCGCCACAGGCCAGAAATACAGAATCAGAGTCCCGCTGCACAGCATGGTCCGCAAAAGTGGGTAGAAACACACTTTCCCTGCCCCAAAGGGCCTGAAGCCCATCGCAGTCTGGTGTCCTCCCAGCACGGTACCATCCGCCGAGAAGAAACACTCTGAATTGTAATATTCAGCACCAAAAGCAGGCTTCGTTAGCACTACGGATGTTTCATTCTGATTTTTAGACAGACTTATGCCGTGTTTGAAATCATATTGCTTGAATCGTACCTGAAGCGTAACCCAACCAGCAAAAACCCCATTTGCTGCATAGATTAGAAACGCTCCAAATGCTTCTGGGAGTTTCCAAAAAACTAAGCGTGCTTTAGCGGACTAGATGCCTCTTCAAATAGCTACATATGCTCCAGGCATCTATTTAAGACTTGAAAATAAAATACCTGTTTTCCCCACAACTGGTTTAAAATAAAATAAATAAATAAATAAAAATATTTAAATCAATGGGTGGGGGGACCCAGGGCTTGGAAAAAAAAAAAAAAAAATCAATGCAGCCAAATTTATTTTAATTACAAAGAGCCATTTGTAATTTCTTTTTAATTAATAAACGCTACCGGGGAGAATTTTTCGGCACCTTCCAGCTGGCTGCCCACTGCAAAGGCGTAGTAGGGCTTATCCTGAGCTATTGTGAATGACACCAGCGCTCCAACAAAGAGTGAAAGAAAGATGGAGGGGGGGGAAACATGTTCGAAACTGATTTCCGAGCTAGAAAAGAAGCTTGTGTGCCTGGGTCACAAAGAGAGCCCAAAACCTCGCGCTACAGTATGGCCAGGCTTTTGTTTGCTTCAAGCCATAACATCTGCTCCCCATAATTTAAATAAGGAAGAGACAGACCATCAGACATTCAAAAACCTACAAGCCCAAAACAAATCCAGCACAACCGCTATACCGGAGTCTGTTCCTGCGAGTGTCCTGAGCTCGGAGAAGTCACAGTTTCAATCAATAAAACGCAGAAGGCGGCTTTCAGCGCAGAAAGGAAAAAACACATGAAAGTCCCTCTTTACGGACAGCGATCCTCGAAGGACAGACAGCCGTAAAAGCGCAGACGCACACTTACTGCCATGGTTTTTCTTCAAGAGCAAACTGCTGTCACGAGAACGCGATATACGCGACCAAACTCCCCAGAAATGATCTCGCGTAATGTCTGCCTCCAAGCTGCCCTGGATGACAAGGGCACGGCAGAGGACGGAACCGTGTGGGCCCTCACTTGGCGATACATAAGGAGCACTGCCAGTTTGGGTAGTGCAGAAAAAATAATACACACAGAGGTTTAGGATGTTAAATGTTAATAAAACTTAAAAAAAAAAAATAAATCCAAACCCCACAACAGAAAGCACCGCCATTTTAGTTACGTATAATGAAAGTAGTTATTCTCTAAAAAACCATCAAAATTCACTCTGCTTTATAGAAATTAGTTATTCAAACAAGACTGCTGAAGTGTTCATGTACGAGCATCTACGACGTAACTCAAAATCAAAATCCATTTGCCCCCAGCGCCTCTGCTCCTCCACGAGAGCTGCGTGACCACCAACCCCATTTCCTGCTGCTTCTGCATTTTCCATTATCCCCACGCGTTCTGCCTTACTCTCTCTTTTTCGCCGTAATACAGTTATTTGTCAACTTTGAACTCTTACTACCACCACCAATTCCTTAAAGGGGAAAAAAAAAAAAAAAAAAAAGCCTCACACAACAGCAGCATTATTGAGAATTCTCGAGGTATCCAGGCCAGACATCAAAAAACCCCAACCTAGCGATTCTTCACCTGCACACAACCAAAACTCAAACGAGCAGCACTGCTTTCTCCAAACCTGCAGACGCACAGCATTATAAAAAGCACATCAGAACAATTGCCAGCTTATGGCGGACTATTAAACCCCCCCAAAAAAATAGCCTTAAGTTGTAGAATCTAGCAGGGAAAATCGAGGCCACGGGAGACGAGAGCAGAGCTGAGGACTGAAGGGGGTGGGGTTGTTTTGGGGGGTTTTTTTTGGAAAGCTGAGGCCAGAAAAAGACATCAACGCACCTGTTTTCTCCTTGATCTCGCACAGCACGCTGAAAAGAGCGGGCTTCATTCTGTGGCAGTTCAAGGCATGTTTTCTGAAAGGGAAGAAGAAAAGAGGAGTGAACGCCAACGGGAGAGGCGGCGCATGACGCCGGGGCTGACAGAGAACCAGCTCGCGCTTCACGAGCAGCCAGTTAGCGCAGAAAATTCAGAACGAAACGGGCAAGTTCTGGCGAGATATTCCACCATCTAACAGCAAACCATCGTAAAAACATGCAGGCCTTAAAATTCAAAATTCTGCGTCGCTTATGGGAACCGCGAGCACCTGCAGCTCTACCAGAAGTGTATTTTCTATGTGGGGTTAAAAAGTTCCTTCTGGAGTTAGTACGCTTCTATAAAAGCTAGTAATAATGGAATCCCTCCAAACAGTAGGAAAAAAATAGTGGTTTTAGAGCAGAGAATACAACTGCCGCTCACTGACTCGCTCGGCTTTTGTGAGCGGCCACCAGATCCAACGAAAAGCAGATGGGATTTAACAGCATTTCAGTCCCAGTTTTCCCACACCTCCAATTTGGCCTTTTTGAAGCTCTTCTGGCATTTGCTGGTTTGTTCCCCCTCTTCTCGCCAGGAAGGGACAGCGTTAATTACACCGTTAACGCAGAATCTGCCCTCGTGCCTCATCCAAACAGAGAATTACATCTTTTGCCCAGTGGAAAACACACGTGGCATGTGGCGAGACAGGGAGAAAAGTGCTTTCCCATGGTGTTTGGAGAGAGTCACTCAGATTTCCAGGGCCAGCCACCCGTTCCGTGCCCACCTTCCGCTGGAAGCCCAGGGAAAGAAGTATCTCCTCAAAGATACTCCTCAAAGAAAGTCTTTTTTGCTTCTTGTGACCCCTTTCCTAATTCAGAAATAATACCGAAATCGCCTTTATATTGAGGTTTCATTATGGTGGGGTTTTTTTTATACAAATACAAACCGGCCTTCCTTCTCGCACGCCAATCCCTTCTCCAGCTATTGGGAACGGCGCAAATCCAGGTGCTCGGCTTCCTCGCCGACAGCTGGACTGCCGGCCAGCACGGGAACGCCAGCTTTTAACCAAAATCGCCCAAGCTGAACTCGATTTGCCGCTGTGCTGCGGGACACGGCCCAAAGCAGCGTAAAACCCCGGCAGCGACGGAGCCGTGGGATGCGACGGAGCCCACGGCAAAGGGCCGGAGAACAAAGGCAGCGGAGGAGACGGCCCCGTGGAGTCTATTGTCCTCAGAACACCGTGGAGAGAGGGAGAACCAACTCCCACCCTCCGGCCCGCGCTCCCCACCCGGGTCTAAAAACCGGCGTTTATGTGCAAAGCAGGAGAGACGCTGACCCCAGAGATAATTGCGTAATTAATACGGCCGCTAACTCTGGTGAAGAATGCCAAGGCGGTAACGCGACGGGTTCGAGCGTACCGTTAAACTCATCCCAGGCAGATTAATTTCCCTTTCAGTGAAACTTTCCCTCAAGTTTTCAACTTGGATGGTAAAAATTCTCCTGGCGTGCGCAGAAAAGACCCTCTGACATGCCCGAGGCGTTAAAATAATACGTACAAACCCCACCGACGTGCGTTTTTAACACAAAAAAAATTTATCCCCAAGAAATACTGCCGTGGTAGCGAGGTGGGAGAAGCCCCAGGTGCCCGGCCCTGTCCCGCTCCGGCACCGGGCTTCGCTTTCGCAGCCCCGCATCCTCCCCGGGAGGCCGAAACCCACCAAATTTCTTGTCCAGGAGGAAAAAAAAAAAAGCTTCTTTTATGCACATATACGTGAAAACACACCAAAGGTGCGTTAAAATGTGGCACCTTCCAAACGGGCTGCGCTTCAGCTGGACTTGGACAGCGTTTCTTTAAAGTTATTTCATTTAAACAACGCTCGGGCCGTTCTTCTTACCCCGTTCTTCAACTTTTCTTTGAAATTAAAACTCCCGGCAGATTTTTGCCGCTCAAAATTAGCTGAAATCAGAGGTTGTGAGAGAAAACCGCAGCTCTTACGCAACACAGAAGGTGAATCCACACCTACAGAATCCGTACAGGAGCTGCGGGCGGTGATTTCGGAAATACAGCACCAAGGAGAGAAGAAAAATGGAATTTTTGGGGGGAAAAAAAGGTTTCTGCGTGCGCAGCACCGCTCACGGATTCCACCGCCCCCCAAAAGTTCCCCGAAAGAGTCCATTCTACACCCAAAATTCTGGCGTTTTTAGAATTTAGACTTATATTCGAGGAATCCGCTCATCTGTTGGGAATTGGCTACAACGACAGCGACTGGCGTACCCAAAACCCGTGAAACTTTAGGTAGAAATTTGTAAAAAAA